TATTTATAGAACTCTTCTCCTAATCCCAAACAGAAAACCAAACACATTTTCCAAACATACAAGGAAAAAGGTCAAACAAAGCCCAAACACAAACCCAAACAAAATAGACCTAAAACACAAAACAAGCCCAATTCAGATTCAAGTCATATTCTAACAGCCTCAACTATGCAGCATATAGACTTAATTGGCCCGACACATGGTTGGCCATCAATTTGGACGGCCAACACCGTTGACCGTTAGTCAACACGCCATGTCATTGCCTTGTCAGTCTTAAAATCATTAAAAAAATTAAATTCAAATTATTTTCCTAATTTCTATTATTTATCATTTTCAAATTAACCAAAATTTAAAAATATAAAATTTATTTATATTCTATTTTTTGGGATATTTGAAATTGATAAATTTTATAAATTAATAAAAATTATCAATTAAATTTTATAAATTTATAAATATGATATAAATGATATATTTTATTTTTTGAATAATTTTAACAATATAAAATAATTTGATGATTTTTGGTTAATTTATAAAATTTATCAATTTCAAATATCCCAAAAATTAAATTTATTTATGTTTTTTATAATTTATTTTTGGTTAATTTGATAATAAATAATAAATAATAAATAATAATTAGAATTTGAAATTTTTAATGATTTGTAGGCTGACGAGATAATGACATTGAGTGTTGACTAACGGTCAATGGTGTTGACCATCCAAATTGACAAACTCTGTGTCGGCCTAATTGAGTCTATATGTTACATAATTGAGATCAGGATGTTAATTTCTGAAAGTGTTAATACCCTCATTTGGCACGAAGTATAGCGTTAGTGACAGTTCTGGCCCCATTTTTCAAATAAGACATTTCTGACCCACTTTTCAAATTATCGGACAAACTTGGCCTGTGGGACGGGTTGACTGTCAGATTTGACGGTCAACAATTTTCTCCATTGCTGACTCAGCATTCGACTATGATGTGGCTTGTCCACGTCATTTATTGTTATTTCCCTTTTTGTGAACATTTCTAAGTCATTAAGTTTAAAAAAAAAAAAACTAAAAGGGAAAGGTAGAGACCAGGTCCACCTCACACTTACCCATCCCTTTCATTCAACCTTCTTCCTCCTGTGAAACCCCACCCACTCGTATTCCCTTCCCCGATCTTCTCCAGAAAAGGAATCCGACCCAAATCGGAGTGCATGGCACTCGATTCTCCTCTTCGTCGGCCTGAATCTTGAAACCCCACCGACCTTCTTTCTCCTGTGAAACACCATCGTCGGCTCGTATCCCCTTCCCCGACCTTCTTCATCCTGTGAAACCCCACCCACTCGTATCCCCTTCCCCGTCCTTATCCCCTTACTTTCCCTTCATCATCGCCTCCTCACCCAGCCCGATCGAGTCACCGTCGATCAGAATCGAGTGCGCGGCCGGCACTTTCTTGGTCGCGCCGCGTTTCTTTTCTCGTCTTTGCCGGTCATGAGCATCATATCTTCACGGCGGCGGGATTCGTTTCTTCACCATCTATCAACCTTTTCCCTCTCCTGTCTTCCGCCTGCGATAAACTGGTCCTCCATGCAGTATTTTTCTTGTGGGACCTGTGTAGTTGTGTTCATGAACTTGTTTCCAAGTTATGGAAGTTGTTTCCATGTTATGAACTTGTGTTCATGCTTAATTCAGGTTATGAAAGTGTGCGTTTGTGTTCATTAACTTGTTTCCAGGTTATGGTATCCACAAGCAAACGAACTACAGCTTAACTGGATTACAAGCAAACAAACTTCACTGCATTACAATCTAACAAAGTTGAACTTCACTGCATTACAAGCTAACTCACAAAGTTGAAATTCACTGCATTACAATCTAACAAAGTTGAACTTTACTTCATTACAAGCTAACTCGACAACTGCTGCCATCAAACTAGCTGCATTACTGCATTACACACGTTTTACCCACGTATGAGCCAACTGACAGAGTATAAAACAAACAGCAAACTAATACTGATATAACAATGATTCACCCTACTCTGAAGTTTACAAACAGTATTCTCCAAATTATCCAATTCAAGACAGCTGCGAGCACTTATAGCAGAAATTCTTTCAAACTCTTCGGCCATATCAAACTTTTTTTTCTTCCTCTTCTCGACCTTCTCTTCAACATCACTAATACGACATTCAAATCCTTGAGTTAAAGTGATAATCTCAGCTTCCATCTCACAGATTCTCGATTTCAACAAAGCATTCTCCTCCATAAAAGATTCAAGCACACTTGAATTTGCTGATGTTCTCCGATCACACCACTTAAAATGACGAAAACCTTCCTTAGCATCCTACATGAAGGAACTTGATTAAATTTAAAGAATAATACCATTTTGGCAACAAATTGAGACTTATCAAAAACCGTACCTGCCAATACGGGCAGGAATAGAACATTCTCCCCGGATTGTCCTCTGTTCTCGACATCTGCACAATACATGGAACATTGTGCTTGCACCTCTCGATGGGTCTGTTTGTAGAAATCGAACCCGTTGAACTTCCCCCCTCCCCCTCTTTTAGCAAATGACATGGCTGCTTCCTCTCGATGGGTTGGCGACGAAGAGGCTTTGCCGCGATAAATGGCAGGCGACAAGGGAAGCCGACGAAGAGGGCTAGCGGTGGCGACGAGGGCTGGATTTGGCGACGAAGAGGCTTCGCCGCGATAGATAGCAGGTGGCGAGGGAAGGCGACGAAGAGGATTGGCGGCGGCGGTGACACGGGCGACGAGGGCTGGCGACTCCGATTTGGTTTTTCAGAGGAGCTCTGGTATGGTGGGGTGAGGCATGAAGAAAGAAGACGAAGGGAAAAGGGTAGGGCTGCTGTGGTCCTCGTGTCTCTCCTTCCGTTTATGTTTTTTTTTTAAAGAAAATAACAATAAATGACATGGACAAGCCACGTCAGAGTCGAATACTGAGTCAGCAACGGAGAAAATTGTTGACCGTCAAATCTGACAATCAACCCGTCCCACAGGCCAAGTTTGTCTGATAATTTGAAAAGTGGGCCAGAAATGTCTTATTTAAAAAATGGGGCCAGAACTGTCACTAACGCTATACTTCATGCCAAACGAGGGTATTAACCCTTTCTGAAACCATAGGCCAAAGTTGATTATATGATCATAGTTCAGGCCAAAATAAGATATTAACCCAATTTATTTTGTCTTTTGCATTGTAGCATGCCCAAGGAAGATTTTTTTTTTTTGGTGAGAATGCCCAAGGAAGACTAATACTCCACTACTTCCCATGTTTCCCTAATTAAATCCAATATGAAGTATGACATATGATCCCATACATCCGTTTTCTATATTTTCCCTATTCTCTTTGGGATTACGTGAAGTTGGCCGACCTTGGCTTTGTTGTAGTTTGACCTTGAGTAGTGCTCAAGGTTGTCAAACCGAGTTAAATTATTGAGCCGGTCAAGCAAAGGATTTTATGTTTATTGATCTTATTGGGGTCCGACGGTTTGAACCATTTTATACGTTTCTAAATATATATATATATAAGGTAGTAATTAAAAATTAACGACTGAAATGAAACTTATCTTATATGTGTCTATTAAAAACCTATTTCCCACTAAATAAAATCTACCTAACCTCAATGACTCACTCATCATCTTCCTTCCTTCTTTCCCCCTCCTCTCTTTCCTCTCTCTTCTTCTCTCTTTAAGGGTCAGATCGAGGGCTTCCTGGAGGTCGTCTTGAAGCTCGACCAAAATCGAACCGGGTCCAACCGGGACCCGATAGAGGGTTTAACAACCTTGGTAGTGCTTTAGCTTCCACCATAATTACTCACGAATGAATAAGGTTTTCATTCCTGTCATCACAAATCTGTCTATGGGAGAGTTCGAATAATTAAGTTAGTAGACTCTAAGTTGGTCGATGAGGTCCACCAATTAGGATTAATGATAGCTAAAATAATTAAGCTACTAGACTCTAAACTTGGAGCACAAGTCCGCTTCATTTTGATTGAGAGTACCCTATCAAATAGTAATGTGAGCCAGATGAACGGATCTACGACCGGCCAGTAGAACTGTCAAACCAGTTATAACCGCGGTCCGGTTCATTGATTGGACGGTTATTAACAGACCAAACGGTCTTTCATGGTTCAACATAAAATCAGATGAACCACTACGGTTTAACTAGTACTCCACTGGTTCATGTTGATGATATGGATTTGAAATTGTTAATGTTCAATAATAACTTCATTCTTAAACTAGTGTGTTATACTATTGTTGTATGTTATATATCATGAACAATTAAAAATATGATCCCCATAAAAACGTCAAGCAATGGAACATATTAAAATGCTCTCGACTACAAGCAATGGAACCTCCGCTCCGGCGCCGGCTCTGCTTCCCTCGGACCGGCCGCCTGACTTTCTGAATCTCTCGGCGATGGCCGTTTCTAATCCTTTAATTTTGAATGTGGCGCAAGCCACAGGTTCCTCTGCAATGGCAATTGATTCCTCTTCTTTGTCTGTGCAGCAGGTGATGACACAAGATCCAGCGGCCGGAGGGGCCCTTGGACAAGTGAACGGGACGGCGACTGGCCAACCTTTCTCGTATGCTAAGGCGGTCATGGGAATGCCACAGAAAGCGACGACCCTGAATCAGTCTCTTCAATGGACTCCGGTAGGAGAACATGATCTGGTTCCCGGCGAAAGGAATGCAGAACCGGCTATGGCTGTTTCGGCGGAGTTCAAAGGAAAGCTCTGTGCACCCTGGCAGAGAACACTAGTGAGTCGATTACTAGGGTTGAGGATCGGTTTCGTCACACTCTGTAATCGCCTAAAAAGCTTATGGAGGCCGATAGGCGCAATGGAGGTTAAGGATCTGGATTATGACTGTTTTCTAGTCAAATTGGACAACGAACAAGATTACTTCCGCGCTCTAACCGATGGACCCTGGGTTATTTATGATCATTATTTGGTCGTTCAGCAATGGACGCCCAAGTTCAAGGCCTCCGACCCTCTTCCAAAAATCATGATTGTTTGGGTTCAGCTCCCTGCTTTGAAAATCCATTTTTACCACAAGGAGGTAATTACGATGTTGGGGAATCTCATTGGCCGAACCATTAAGTTGGACTATCATACGTTAACCCAGCAACGAGCTAAGTTCGCCCGGGTAGCGGTAGAAGTTGATATCTCCAAAGCTCTGGTTCCCCGAATATGGCTTGACGACGAGTGGCAAACGGTTGAGTACGAGAACCTACCTGAGGTTTGTTTTCATTGCGGGAGGATCGGACACAATAAGGGAGCATGTCCCCAGAACAAAACGCAAGAAGCATCATCCCAAGGTAACGTCGCCGGAGGGTCGCCGCCGGGCATTCAAACACAACCATCAGAAGACTCCAATCCGGGCTTTGGGCTGTGGATGTTGGTATCAAGGAAATCCCGGCGGAAATCGGGGGATGGGCAAATAAAAGGAAAGGAGGAGCATGATACAGGGAATCAAATCATAACTGCCAAAAATAAGAATCATGAAGCCGCCGGCAAGGACGCAATGCAGCCTCCATCTCTGTTGACAACCTCAAACGGCCCTGTACCCCAACGGGATTCAGTACAAGAAAGGAAAGTGTTTAATGGGAATAAAAGCGGAGTGGACGCGTAGAAAGGGAAAGGGAAAGTGATTAAGGAGAGTACAGGGAAAGGGAAGGGTCTCCTTGGGCCTGGGCCCAAAACAGGGGATGCAGTCACAGGGCCAAAGTCAAACTCTAAGAATGGGCCCCTGTCTTCAAGTAATCGGCCAGATCCACTTTCCTATCAGCCGTCTGCTTCAAAAATTCCGGACTTGACAATTGGGCCTGCAACCCATAGCGTTGTCAATGATCTGCCCGAGCCTCCTTCTTTCAAGACGGTTATGGGCCCTAATGGAACATTGATGCAGATAATTGAGAGCCCACAATCCTCACGAGATAACGGCGACACAACCCCATCTCTGACTGCAAGAACGAAACGGAACAAGGGGAAGAAATTGCAAGGAAAGAAGTCGCCGACCAAGCTGAACCCGATGAAGCCTCTCCAAATTTGGTCTTCGATCAAGGATAGGAAACCCAAATCCAAGTCGCGCTTGGCGTCTCTGACCTTGTGACACGCCAAAACACAACACCAATCTGCGACCAAGTGTAATCACAGACCGGGAATGCAGTAACAGGCAAGTTATATTATCAACCCGGGGTCTAGATCTACTGCTTACTCAGTGATTCTCTGTTATCTAGCCAACTAAAGTAACTGATTTTTGTTTAAAAGCAAAAGCAGAAATAAAGCAGGAAATTATTCGGTTTTCTTAAGCAGGTAAGAGTCACTCGGGAATGAGTCCCCCTAGCTCCTTAGTTAGGTTTCAATTGTATTTCCCTGGGTTGATTTACTGTTGATTAGACTGCGGAAGATCCGACAGTAGCTTGGAATCTCTTAAGCTGACCAAGCCCTCTCAGTCTAACTACCCGGCAGACGACTAGTCTTCACCGGGATAGAAAGCTGAAGCGGTAAGAACAGAACTCCACTACTGGAATTGGATTCCAGTACAAAGCAGTAAACTGGCTAACTCTCGTATAGCCAATCTCCTACTATCGAATGATGAGACTCTAGCAACCTAATCAGATTCTATCTATCTCAGATTGCAACAGGAATCAGGAAAAGTTGATCAGACTTCAATTAACTCAATAAACATGCATCATTCGATTAAAATCAAACAGTAATATCATCCCAAGTCATTACAATCAATCCCTAACACATAGAACTAGGGTTCTTCACCCCCAAGTGAAAGAGGGGTTCTACTCCATAGAGAGAGGAAAACAAGATACAAAGTAGTCATACTCATAAAGATGAGGAAAATCTGCTCTAGGATGATGGTTTCCACTCCTATGACGATCTCCAAGCTTGATTTGATGAAACCCAGCTCCAAGATGGCTTCTAGGATGTGTTCTTCGTCCTTTCTCTCTCTAGGTCTCTGTTTTTGCTCAAAAAGTCCGATCCTCTCTCTTGCAGCCCGAAATTTGGTTAAAACCAGGAAATCCTGACTCACACGGGCAGGGCCACACGGCCGTGTGGCATACCCAGTTGCCCGTGTGAGTCAAAACGCTGCGTTCCACTTAGTTCGATCTTCAGGCTTCCCACACGGCCAGGGGGGCACGGCCGTGTGTGACTTCCATCTGCCCGTGTTTGCTCTCGGCAAAAGTCACACGGCCAGACCACTCCTTCACACGGCCGTGTGTGTTGTCAGGGCAGGCCGTGTTTGCTCTCGCACAATCTCACACGGCCAGAAATATGAGTTGCACGGCCGTGTGAGTTGTGGGTGTGCCCGTGTGGCCTCCTTTTTGACTTGCCTCGCGCCCGATCTTCGTCCAATCGACCCCAAACTCGCTCCCGAGCCTCCATTCACGTACTAGGACCTGAAATATCACAAATAAGCACAACCTAGCGTGAAATCAGCCTAAAACACGAGAAATCACATCTCAAACGGTGTAAGAACAGGGGTAAAAACATGTGTAATTAACGGTCTATCACCTTGCAGGAGATTAGCTCTTGGACGGAGGCGGCGAAAAGACCAGCGAATGACGATAGGGAGAAGGAGAAGACTGGGTCGGAGGAACAGCTACAGGCTGAGGTTCAGAGCGATGTAGCTCGCACTTAGGCGAGACGGCGCACCTCGTCTTTCTTCTTGGTGGTATCGTGCCGCTTTTGGTCGGTGTCCCTATAATTTTATGTCAATGATTCATAAATTAAAAGTTCTGTCGTGGAATGTCGGTGGCGCGGGGAGCAGATCTTTTTGTCGAGCTCTGAAAGTGGCTATCCAGAATCATCGCCCAGACTTTGTCGTGCTTCTGGAGCCTCAACTGAGTGGCAATTCTGCCAATGCAATTTGTGATAAGCTTGGATTTCCGAATTCGTTCCGGGTGGAAGCGGAGGGACGTAATGGTGGAGTGTGGGTCTTCTGGGACGGTGGAGTATTCTCGGTTCATCTCTTCTAGGCCTGCTCGCAACACCTGTCTCTCAAAGTCACCAGAGCTAACGATCCTCCCTGGATGCTGTCTGCAGTCTATGAATCTCCCCGGCAAAGTGAACAGAGGTATCTCTGGGAGAGGTTGATTACCCAAAGCAGGCATATTGATATCCCTTGGCTGCTCACAGGGGATTTCAATGCCATTAGTAAACCGGAGGAAAAGTCAGGCTTTCCTACGAGGAACACTCTAAGGAGATGTCAACTTTTCACCGAGAGAATGAATCGTGCAGAACTGGTCTAGAAGGGATCAAAGTCATACGTACAAGGCCAGCAGACTGGATAGGAGCTTGTGCAACCTACACTGGAATTTGGCCTTCCCCAACTGCTCGGTTATCCATCTTCCTCGCATTCAGTCAGATCATAGCCTCACTCTCACCAGCGTGGAGCCTCAAGCGGTTCAGACTCAGAACGCGAGGCCTTTTAGGTTTGAAGCGGCCTGGTTGACTAATGCCAATCTCTCCAACGTGGTTAAGGAGGCCTGGGATGATAATAGTCCGCTGCATAATACTTTGCAAACAATGGCATATAAGCTTGCCGAGTGGAATATAGTGGTGTTTGGTGACATTAATCAGAAGAAGCGCAGACTGCTGGCTAGAATCAAGGGAGTGGAAACTAGATTATCTGCTGGCTTCTCCCCTGGGCTGGCCAAGCTTCACTCAAAGTTGGTTGGAGAGTTGGATAAAGTGCTTGAGCAGGAGGAACTCTTCTGGTATCAGCGATCCAGAGATAATTGGGTAAAATCTGGGGAAAGAAACACAACCTATTTTCATCAGCAGGTCAACATTAGACGGCGGTTTAACAAGATTGAGGCGCTCCTGGATGATAATGACAATTGGGTGACTGATCCTCATTCTCTTGCTCGGCTTGTGTTTGAGTTTTTTACTAATATTTATCTGCAGGATAATTCCCCCGTATGAAGATAGACTTCCCAAGGACCGATTTCCCAGGTTGGATCAAGAGGAAGCTGCAGCATTATTCAGACCCTTTAGTATCCTGGATATTCACAAAGCGATTTTTGACATGAAGCCTTTCCAAGCTCTGGGTCCAGACGGGTTCCATGCGGCTTTTTATTAGCAGTTCTGGCAAGTGGTAGGGAAGTCTCTCTCCGATATGACCATATCCTTTTTCATGACATGTACTCTACCGGAGGCGGTGACTGAGTCGACGCTAGTTCTTATTCCCAAAGTGGACTCGCCAGAGAGAGTTACCCAGCTCAAGCCTATTTCTCTCAATAATGTCTGCCTCAAGAGCATCACCAAGGCCATGACCTCAAGGTTAAAACCCATCATGAGAAAGTTGATCTCGCCTCGACAGAGTAGTTTTATCCCTGGGAGACAAACTACGGACAACATTATTGTTGTTCAAGAAGTCTTGCATCCCTTCAGAAAGAGACGAGGAAAGAAAGGAGGAATGGTCTTCAAGATTGATCTTGAGAAAGCTTATGATATGCTCAGGTGGGACTTCCTGCGAGACACTTTGAAGGAAGTCGGACTGCCAAGTAGCTGGATTAACTGTATCATGTACTGCGTGGAACACAACACTATGAGGATCAGATGGAATGGGGAGCTGTCGCAGCCAATAACGCTGTCCCGCGGTGTTCGTCAGGGAGATCCTCTTTCCCCCTATCTTTTTGTTTTGTGCATGGAAAGATTGTCTCATAGAATAGATGAGGCGGTAGATAACGGACAATGGAAAGCTGTGCGGCTAACTAGTTCCGGGCCGCCTCTAACTCACCTTTTTTTGCGGATAATTTGTTACTTTTTGCAGAAGCAGAAACGAGACAAATCCGGGTGGTTAAGCAGTGGCTAGCGGACTTTTGCCACAGCTCTGGGCAACGAGTCAACTTCAGCAAGTCCATCCTGTACATCTCCCCGAATGTCGCGCGACGGAAAGCTGAGTACCTAAGCGATTGTGTGGGTGTCCCCTTGAAGGCAGCTCTAGGGAGATACCTCGGGATCAACGCAATTCAAGAAAGGGTCACTAAAGGGAGGTATCAATCCCTCATCCTCCGGATTCAAAAAAAGATGGCCCCGTGGAAGGCGAAGCGGCTGTCCTTTGCCGCTCGGCTTACTGTAGCCCAATCGGTGACGTCCTCCATCCCTGTTTATACTATGCAAACAGAATTGATTCCTAGCGGTGTTTGTAGGAGTATCGACAGGATCAGTAGGGACTTCATCTAGGTGACGATGAGAACCATTCCAAGCTTCATCTGGTTGCGTGGGAAAGGCTAATGAATCCGAAAGCGCAAGGAGGAGTGGGGCTTCGTTCTGCCCGGCAGGCAAACCTTGCTATGCTTGTCAAATGTGGTTGGCGCCTTCTTCATGATAAAGATAACATTTGGCAGCAACTTCTCCTGTCAAAGTATGGAGGGCAAAGGTCCGGGATGGATATTCTGCGAAGAAGACAAGGAAGTTCCTTCACCTGGAATAGCTTTGTCAAAGCTGCTGACCTCCTTAAACAAGGATGTGCGTGGAATATTAGTAACGGGAAGAGAACTAAGTTTTGGAATGATCTGTGGGTTTTGCAGGTGCCTCTCAAGGAGATGGTGACGAGGGAACTACCGGAGGGCGTAGAGGAAGCTATGGTGGCTGATTACGTTCGTGACGATGGCAGCTGGCGCGTGGAGCTGTTTTCGGAGTTCCTCCCCCCGGATGTCTGCAGCAAAATCACAAGTAAAGCCGTCGACAACCTTTCCCAGAAGGAAGACTCTCTCTTTTGGGCCCCGACGGCTGATGGCAGGTTCTCAACGAAATCCGCATATATCCTCCTTACCAAACAGGATCAGCAGGTTAATGATGGGATTTGGAGGGCGATCTGGCGTCTACCAGTCCCGGAGCAGGTTCGAGGCTTCTGCTGGCTGGCCATTCAGGGAATGATTGCCACGAATGCCATTCATTTTCAGCGGAAGGTGGCACTGTCGCCTTGCTGTCCGCGATGCCCGGGACGCCCGGAGACTGTACTCCACATCCTACGGGATTGCACGCCGGCGATTTACCTGTGGTCAAGGTTGATCACGCAACAAAATCAACAGAGTTTCTTCAACGACAACCATGAAGCTTGGTTCCGCAATAACATCTGCAGTAAAGAGTCCACCAGTTTGGGTATTAACTGGCCAAGCTTCTTCAGCATTGCAATTTGGCTGCTGTGGAAGAATCGAACAGTTGCTGCGTTCAAAGGTGCGAGTGCTTCACTCTCTGCTCCATCCCTTATGCACTCTATTCTAACCAAGAGCAAGTTATGGAATGATTCCTGGCATGCTCCAGAGTTGTTCCTCAACCATAAGAGGCAACGACCAGATAGGGTAGTTGCAGATATCGGATGGAAGCCGCCGTTAGAAGGGTGGGTCTTGGTTAACACCGATGGAGCTTCTAATGGTAACCCGGATCTGGCAGGTGCAGGGGGTACTATCCGAGATTCGCAGGGTAAATGGCTGGGCGGATTTGTCGCTAACATCGGTACTGCTTCTGCTGCCTTGGCGGAGCTTTGGGCTATTCTGTATGGTTTGGAGTTGACCTGGAAACTTGGATTCCGGGCGGTGAAGCTGGAGTCCGATTCGCAGCTGGCAATTCAGTTAATCCAGGAGAGACATGATCACATACACCCGTATGCTACCCTCTTGAGTCTTATCCGCAGAAAGATTGGTCAGGATTGGTTGGTTAGCCTGTCTCATACATACCGGGAAGGGAATAGAGTCGCGGATTGGCTCTCGAAGCACAGTCTCGTTTATCCCTACGGTATGCATGAGCTAGCTGACCCGCCATCAGGTGTTATCACACTCTTGCAAGAAGATGTCAGAGGTGTTACTTTTGAGCGCCGCATTGTGGCTGGCTCTCCCTCCTAGTCTCAGTCTCCCCCTGTAATTGTTCTTATAATTTCAAATGGATTTATTAACACCAAACGATTTATGACATGATATCAAAACTAATTTAATTATCCACTACCCACTATATCAATTTTTGGAAGTGCAAAAGTCAAGGATTGATAACAATCTCCCTTTCAACTTGGAACTATATATATAGTAGCGTCTTCAGTGCAATCAGTTTTTTGAGTGCATTCAATGTACTCGCCTCGTAATCATCATTTCGAGCATGTGATTCATGTCAAAATGGTATCAATCATCACTTATCATATTATGAACAAGAAATACATGAATTTGCCGGAAACAAAAATCAAAATTTACTTTAATTTAAAGGATTTAAGATTTAGGGATTCAGGGTTAGGGTTAGGGTTTAGGTTTACAATTTGGGGTTTTTGGTTGGGATTCAAAATTGAAGGAAAAATGGTTAGGAAATGGATTGATTAGTTGTGATTTTATATTACATCATCATATTAGATCATTGCTACCAATTACCATCCAAAATTTGATGTACTATGGACACTTTTAGAGTTGAGTGTATTTAATACACCCAAAAAAGTGAATCTATATATACACACCCATATATGTATATACTAATTATTATGGACAAGTTCTTTTTAAATTGTAACTACAAATTCATGTTTATTGAGAATTTTCAAGAGGCAACGTCAATTTCGCAGCACATCACGCAGCACCGGTTTATTCGATGTTCTTGATATCAACTAATAATAATTAATTTGGCAGTCCTTCTCTTGGTTTATTAATTCATTTTTTA